AACATTTTATTTAGGCCTATCTATGGCCTTCAAAAAGTTCACGACTCTACATGTTTCGTCAACTTTTTGAAGGCCATAGATAGGCCTAAATAAAATGTTTTTAATTGTGTACCAGTTTTAACTTTGAATATTATTTATAATTTTAACTTTATACACAAGTGCCAAAATACAATAATTAAATTATCTTCAATTGTTTAAGAAAAGATGAAGTTTTTAAAATCCCTTAAGTAACTTTTAACTGGAGCAGAGTGTGGACCAGTGGCTAGCATATTGGACTGTGGTTCTGAGTTTCTGTTGCTCATGCCCTGTTATTGCCATAAAACAAAATTGTTCTCTACACTTTTGGGTCTGGGGCCATAGAAATGTTATAAAAGTGACAGTTAAATCCCACTGTTTAATTAAGTAGCCCAAGAGTTGGTGTTAGATGGTGTTGACTAGCTGCCTGCCCTCTAATCTATCACTTTAAAATTAGAGATGGCTAGCACAAATTGCCCTTGAGTAACTTATGAGAAATTAAATAAACACTTATAACCACAGCACCAGACAATCAATCAACTTTAAATTTGTCGTTTGAATACGTTAATATTAATTGGCTTTTAAAAACCTCAGTGCTGCCACAAGTACTTATGACTGTGAAAAATTAAAAGCAAACTTTACTTTGGGCTGGAGATGACCTAGTAGTTAGTGTGTCAGGCTGTGAATCGAAAGACCCAACTTATAGTGAGAGCTCTTGATGCTGTGAGTGCTGTTTCCTAATTTTATCCATCTAGTCAGTTTTTAGGAAAGGCTATATCTGAATCAGGAAGGTTTCTGACCTGGCAGTTTGGCCCATATGTGCATATAGGGTGCCATTCAGGCTTAAATTCTCATTCCAATTAATTTGGCTATTTGTGGCAATTTTGTTGTTCCACAGATCATTACAGGTAATTGCCATTAAACAAATTCCAGTTTTTTGTGCAGTTTAAAGCTGATTCAATTCTGTGTTATATAAATATATTCTGTGATGTTCTCTAATAATAAAAAAAAATAACTTTAGAACTTTGTACAAAGGCATCAGAGTGATAACCATTATCCATTTGTATTATATAAAAATAATTTTTGTGTGCTTTGCTAAATTTTATAACTTTTAAATGTTTTTGTTTTGAAACGGAGAAACTGTAAGTCAGTTAATGTCATAAGTCAGGTTGTTAGTAAACACTAGTTTGTATGTTTTAAAGAATGTTGTACTGTGTATAGAACTTTTGCCTTTGTAGTATTTATTAATAGGTATTTTTCAACTGAATGAGGAAGTTAGGATTTTTATAGGAAAACATCCTGGAAGTGTTAATGAAATAGTCTTGAATAGTGTGTGAAAATCCTGTAAATTTGTTTTGTAGTATTTTATTGTTTCTGTTATTAATTATTTTTTAAATTTTTAACTCTAGTATTTCATCTAAAACACTTAGTTTCATAGAAACTAGTATTGGTTAAACTCTATTTATATTAAAATCTTGTACTTGGAGTTTATTTGAAATGTGTCTATTTTACAGTTTCTAGCCAATGTAGCAGAAATCATCATGGAAGAGAGTGAAGAAGGAGAAGCTCAGCACACCACTTGGAGAGAAGTCTTTATCTTGGTTGATCTCTTGTGTTGTGGAGCTATTTTATTTCCTGTTGTGTGGTAAGCACTTGAATAATTTATTAGAGAACTAAATTAATTTGCTTACACACCATAACTTATTAAACTATTAATAACATTAAATGTAGCTCTTACATTACTTGCAAAGGTTTATTAGTAAATTTTGAGTATTTTTGAAACTTTAAAAGCAAATAAAGTTTGGATGTTTTTTTCTGAAAGCTAGTTTTGAATGTGGAGTTTTTACTTTTATAACATTGTTCTAAAATAAACTGTAAATTCAGTTAAACCACAAAACTTTTTATATTGTATTTCACATAGTTAAGTGATTCTAACAATACAAAAAGCCATTAAATTAGATGGAATGTAAATTGTAAATAAAATCTTTGGTCAAGTGCATTAAAAGTTAAGTAGCCAAAATAGGCCTAAGAAGTTAGACTTACTGGGTATTGTGTTTTGTCTAAGATTTAGAGCCAGCCATGTTCTAGCAGTTAGCATACCAAGCATTATATTGGAAGGTTCAGAGGTCAAACTGCAATATGCTGCTCAACATGCTCTGTACATTTAGCTGTGGTATTTTATAAATGTGACAATCAGTCATGCTATGTGGTTAAATGTAACCACATAAACAGCAGGTTCTACTGACACATATGTATTTACAAATATTTTCATAAAAAGTTTGGAAGTGATCTTACCAAAAGTTTCCTTCTTACTAATGTTTAAAATATTTAATATGTTTCGTTTTTGTTAAAATTGAAATATTACACTATCATATTCATATATAAATGTATTTGTAGGTCTATCAGGCATCTTCAAGAAGCCTCTCAAACTGATGGAAAAGCAGCCATGAACTTGGAGAAACTTAAGCTTTTCAGACACTTCTACATCATGGTAAGATAAACTACAGTAGCAATTTTTCTTTTAAATAAGCTTTTTTGTTATAGGCTGAAGTAAGTCTAGAATTAATTTCAAATGAGAGTTGGATGTTTTCAGTAAGAAATGGTAACTTTTTTTTCCTTGTATACACAAAGTTCAGAATTTTTTTATATGCAAAACGTCTATTTACTTAAAGCTTGTTAATAATTAAGGAATCTGTTGCAATGATTGGGATTATCTTCTGGCAGAAATTATTTAAGTTTCTTTGAAATAAAACTCAAGAATTAATTTACTGATTGGTTTCAATTTTAAATTTTAGAATAGTCTTAGAATATGTAGAACCACTTAATTTTCATTCTTATTTTAGGATTATATTTACTATATAAAATAATAAGCACTTTATACAGAGCCAAATCTGATGAGCATTCTTGTGATGATGATATTATATTGTCATTATGAAACTCATGGACACATTTTGATTTGATTCACATCGATGATGCCATGAATGTAACATAAAAATACATATATAATATGTATTTTCATGTTTTATTCTTTAATTATTACAAAGGATATTTAAAATAAAGGACATCATACTTATTTACTCTCATGTGAACAGTATTTTTAACATTTCATTGCCAACCTATTATTAAGTGCCACTACTTCAAATAATATTTCAATTCCCTCAGTTATACTCTCATACTAACAGTATTTTTCACATATCTCTGCTGATTCATTAAGTAATACTTCTGTACTCTTAGTTATATTCTCATGTGAACAGTATTTTTAACACTTCATTAAGTGCCAGTACATTCACTGATGGGACAGCAGTAAATTTCTGGACTTAAACACTAAAGCCTGGGGTTTTATTCCTTGCATTGATAGCATCAGATAGACCATTGTGGCTTTGCTCTGAAACAAACAAACCAAAGTGCCAGTACTCAAGTGGAACTTCAATACTCTTACTTCTACTCTCATGTTAACAGTATTTTTCACACTCCACTACCAATTCTTTATCAAGTAATACTTCTGCACTCTTAGATATACTCTTATGTTTAACAGTATTTTTCACACTCCACTACCAATTCTTTATCAAGTAATACTTCTGCACTCTTAGATATACTCTTATGTTTAACAGTATTTCTCACACTTCACTACTGATTCATTATTAAGTACCAGTACTTCAAGATGAAGATGGTCAGTAATGACAAATGAAATCACAAAAATACAAATATGTATACCAAAACTGGAACAATGTTGCTATGTAATGGTTGGAGACGGCTTGTTGAAACGTTGTACATTTGCTGTTATGTTAAACTTATTTTAAAGTTTTCTTCATTACCCATTCAAGCCGTCTTCAACCATTATTAGTCTAAAAGTGGGTTCCTTGTCATCGATTGTTGCTGTGTGCTTTGTACTGTTTGGCCAAAGGCTTATAGGAAATCTATTTATAGCATTGTTTTTTGTAGATTGGAAAAAAAATTACATTTTTGTCACTAAAAATCAACAAGCATGAATGAAAACTTTCAGTGGAACAATAATGTAAATAACAAATGTACAGAGAATATTGTAAAGATAAGAAGATGTTAAAATTAATGATGGTGTTTGTAGTAAATTTATCATCTATATCAGTGCTTCCCAAACTTTAGTCATTCACATACCACCTTCACGATTTTTGCCATATCTGCATACCATCTGTAATAATATTTATGTTTTACTTAATATTTTTTCTTTAAATCGATTCACTTCTTTTATTTAAATAAATTTATTTTAAAAGAAAATTTCATAACACTAGGATAAATGGAAAACCAGTATCACTTACCATAATATTTATTTCAAGATGATTCATTAATTTGGTCCTCATAGCTATCACCACTTTTTCGCATTTGCATTTCCATCACAGTATTCACCTTTACGCTTTAAAATTCCCGTTTTTAACCACTGATCCATGATAGGTTCAAAAGAAAAATAAAATAAAACAGAGTGCAGATGCACAATCACAAAATGAGAATCTTTGTATAACACAAAGAAGTTGCTATAAAAAATAGGTGTTGTTTGATCACCAGTTTCACCAACAGGTTCTAAAATTTTACTATACTGTAAAAGCTTGAAACTTTTAGGAACAGATTTATACAAACTTTATCTTTTGTATTAAAGATTTGTTGAGTGTACTTCTTACAAAAACTGATTTCACTTTATACTTTTGGAGATGATATTATAATGAAAATATGGATTGATTATAAGGAGCTGGTCATTATTATAGATGAAACATTGGTCCATATTATTTTCTCCTTTGATATCATTGTTATTTAAAATGTTGCAAAACATTAGTATTGGAATTGTAAGGTTTTATATCAGAATTTTGAAACATTTTTGTGGTAAAAAATTGTACATCCAAGTTATTAAGGAAACTGCTGTTTCTTGACAACAGTTCTTGTTCAAAATTATCAAGTAACAAGAAGGAGTGATAGTGTAGCATCATAACCAGAGTAAGAAAAATCCACTTATGAGATTGACTGAAAGAATACAACAAAATATACCTCTGATGAGGATTGTGAAATAATTATTTTTTATTTCATGTTTAAGAGTTAAATGTCAGATTTATAGTGTGTTTCTAAAAAGAATGTTCTTAAAATACACCTTTATCAAGATAGATCTCTCTTTATGAAAAAGTCTGGGTATCTTCTCATCTGATTGAATTATTGTGAATTGAGGATACTTATTCATGTATGTTCATTACAGAAAATATATAATGATACATCTCTTCAATGTTTTTTTTATCATTTAATGGTTGTTTTTTTTCTGCTTTAGATTGTATGCTACATCTACTTCACCAGGATCATTGTCTACCTTCTCAAGGTATCATTAATTTTTTGTTATGATTAAAGTTTTAATTTGTATACAAAAAGAAATGTTTATATAGTGAACAGCATTAAGTGTGATCTAATTATTAAGGTGTCTTTTACCACCATAAACATACAATATAATATAAAACCTACATAATTAGAGATGTTGCTAAGCCTTATAATTTCCATTAGTTCCATTAGATTTATCTACCACCAACCTCATATTCTGTAGTTTAATATTCTAGAAAATAACTAAGAAGTACTTTGAGAACTTCTTAAGTGCAATAAATGCTGTAGATGATCACACTTAAGATTTACTTAAAATAGCTACAAAAGTGGTTTAAGAGTGTGTGAGTGTATGTCACAGAAGATAGTTCGGCTTGTCAACTGAAATCCTAAAGTAATTGAATAGGTCTAAGTTGATACTTGACAAAAAGGAGAGAACTACATATATAGTACTTATGATATGTCCATAATATCTATAGTGTTGAAGAATTTATTGTACATACGTTAACTTGTTCTGAATATATATATTATTTTGAAAATGAGTGAAGTGTGTGCTGTTTATTCATCGTTGAATTTATTGCTAACAAGTCAGACACACCTACTGTAGAAGAATCCTAAGCCCAACAACAACATAGGCAAAAAGGAAAGTTTTATATATATATATATTTTTTTTAATTCTGACATGATCAAATACTTTTGTATCTATTAATTAGTGTTAGACGAGTGAATGTGGGTTTAAAATCTTTTTTGCTGTTAAAATAATATATCTGCAAAGATATAACTGTTGAAAAATGTTTTCATGACAGTTTAATATATTTTTCTATATCTTGTAATATATTAGAATAAAATTATAACCTCTAAATACTTGAAAGAATACATTTCGGTGTTTTCTTCTTTAGTCTCCTTCATATGTAATATGGTAACTTTAAGTATTTATTTTGGCTAAGTGGTTTATGGTTATTACAGGTGATTTTTAGGACTTAGTAAACTCATTATTGACAAAATTCAAAACCAGTGTGTGTAATACTGGTAGTTATCATAAAACAGGGCTACAAAGAATATTTATTTTGACTGTGGTTTATGATCATTACAAGTAATCTAATAAAGATCAAGCCCAGGGTCTGATAGTTTACTCTTATCCTTGTCAAATTTGATACTTGTAAGTTTTAATTTTACTTATTTAGCTAAGCTTAATCTCCACTTGACTTTAAAAAGTTGTCTTTTTTTTATCCCTTCAGATCACCGTGCCTTTTCAATATGAATGGCTCAATGAGTTTTTCCGTGAAACAGCCACACTTGGATTTTTTGTTTTGACTGGTTATAATTTCCGCCCCACAACCAAAAATCCTTACTTCCGATTGTCCCAAGATGATCCTGAGCTAGAAATGGAAGAAGTGTAAGAACATGAATATCAATCATTTATCACACAGTCCTTTTTATGATGAATACAGTGAAAATAATCTTATGCATATTTCTTCACATGTGTTTAGGCCATAGTTAGCCTTCTCTAAAAGCTATAAAAGTACGTTAGGTTATAAAATTGTTAGTCGGTTCACAAAATTCACAAATTTTTTTAGCTGTAACAGTTCAGTATATCAAACTGAAACTTTTAGTTACCCACTTAATAGAATTGACTTATTTTTAGTATATGACTAAATGTTTCAGGTGAAGTTTATACTAAATAGTACTGTAATTAAAAAGCATGAAAGTCAGTTGCATAAAAAGAAGTGACTTGCATTTTTAATGACAAAATCAACATTTCAGACCTAAACCTTTAATCAAGATGTAGATTGTATAGACTACGAAAACATTACTACAAAAGCATGGGATTCAAACCAATTGTCACATGGGTAACAATATACAAATATTGAATTGTTATGAGGGCAACAGATCATTTGTTGCCTGAAATTTCATTGATATCAGGTCTTGTTATTTTATTATTATTATTATAAGTTATTTTTACCAGAAAGCTGTAAATAGCTTATACATAATAGACATTATCATAAATATGTGTTAATAATGTGTTTAATATCCATCAAAGGAATTATTGTTAATTGTAACATCTGTCTGAATGCCCTGTTCCTTGAGTGACCTGATCATTTCTTACATTTATTTAAAAGTAAATATTTATAACATACAGTTTTCTACCCAAACACTATCTGCTTGCACATAAGAGTTGGCAGTTAGTGTGCTTGCTTAATAGATAGAATATTAAGGTAACGTCACTTATTCAGTCTAGTTGCATTCAGTGATACAAATTGTATACCCTTGCTTATGTATAGGAGAAAATATAATTTGAAGTATATATAACACTTAAGTGAGCTACTTTAACCTCGTTACTAATGCTGTTTAGTGGAGTATGGTATAATTATATGTATGTCAGTATTCCTAAAATTTATGTCTATCTGATACACAGTCTACAGTGATTGTAAATAATTTTATGAGAACTTTTCCCATAATCTAAACCTTCGTTATGTTAGATATGTCTATCTACATAAACACATTTTCATGCAATAAAGTAGTTGGGTTTTCTGTAAAGTTTCTATTGTATGTTTAATACAACATTTCTAAAGTTAAAAATTTTTATGTCAGTATTTCTTGGTAATTATATAAATCTTGTGTGTTTAACTTGTATGTTGTATTTTTAAAAAATGCAGGTGTTGTTTCTATAAATCTGTTGTAATAGGTGCTATATTCAGCTTAAATCATATCAGGCAATACACATAGTATGTTAAAATGTGTGACAGATTCTGTTTGTCTCACTTATGCATGCAAAAATTCACATAACTATTTTTGAGAACAGATTAATTTTTTCCAAACAGTTCAGATTTCTTTGTCATTAATTTTATCAACAGGAACTAAAACACACTTCTTTTCCTGAAAGGAGGCCAAAGGCTGCCTGGAGAGGTTGCTTGTTTTAACCACTCACACCACAACACAGTAGTATGGTGTCTGTCAATCAGTCAGTAGACACTAAAATGACATCACGTAAGAAATGCTTAACATTGCAATTTGTACTGTCATTATGTCAGTAAAATGTGCGTGTGCCATAAATCACGAGAAAAACTATGCACTCTGTAGATTACACCACAGCATGACATATGAACTTCAAAAGCAAGAAATAAAAATATTTGTTACTCTTAATTTTGGTTTTATTTACTCTTGAAAATAACACTTTCAGGGAACCCACAGAAGTACATCTAGTATATATGTACATATAACTGGTGTGGATACGAAAGAATGTAAAACATTTGTTGAATTAATGAATGTGTATTTTTACTTGCTGTTCAGTTAAGATATACATTAGCAACATGAGTTACTGTTAACCTTGAGAAAGAGAAAACCTTTTCTTCTTTGAGAAAGTTATTTTCTTTCCTTACTTTTTGTTTTCTGTAGAAAGATATATGTACACTACTCAAGTATAAATGGAGAAAGAATAGCTTAAAAGATGTTTTTTATGCATTTCACATGTATGTACTGGAAGACAATGACCTCTACTTATCTGACATTGTTTTACAATCTTCACTGTAATACTAACAGTCTTGGTTAATAATGATATAGCTTTCAACAGGAATAGGTCAAAAACTAAACCAGTGAATGGTACTTTATTATGATTCATCATATTAAAAGTATGTTAATAGAATGTTTTACAAATCATTGGAATGGGAAAATTATTGTTTGATATTATTTCAATTTGGATTTAGTTACTAATGAATGCAATGATTTTATGTAGAATATTGTTTTTCTTTTATTGTAACTGTTTTACTAATAATTGAAATGATCATCATTGTGTAAAATATTTCAATCTTTGACTATTACTGTTTTGGTAAAGAAGGAAATGATAAATGTTATGTTGAATATTGTTTCTTTGACTAATCGTTCTGCTAGTGATTGGAATGGTGAATACTACATTGGTTATCTTTTTATACCTTGATTGCAGTTCTAGTTAATGCAATCATTATTGTTGTACTAATTAATGGAATGATAAGTGTTGTGTTAGATAATTATAGATTTTATTTGAAGACAAAAATGTAGATCTTCCATTTTGTAACAGAACATTAGCCAAAGCTTTGAAATCAACATTGTCATTAATATTAAATATCATATTAGACTGAGTAACTTAACATTACTCTCCAGTGTTCTAAATTTTTTTACTTCAAGTTATGGAATTAAATTCAAATTAGTAGAAAATATATTGAAATTTTGCCCAGTTTTGCAACATGTTTTGTGTGTATTTGTTAACTATATGATTCAAACAAAAAAAAATGTCAAGCATTAAATAACCCTTTTATGTAAGTATTGTTTGAGGCTGGAAAAAAGTATGAATATGAAGTTAATGACTACCAATATTATAAGTGTACCAAGATCGATTACTATCATTATTTTACATAAGAAATGTTTCTTGTCTCCATTATTTTCACTTCTCCCACAGTTTTCTTTTATAAAGTTATTGTTATGGTTTTTGGGTTCACATTCTGTTCCTTGATTCTCAACTAACTTCAAATGCTTCTTGGATTTCTGATTATCTTTAATTTCTCATCATTCTTATGGTAGAGTTTAGCAAGTATTTCTTCTCTGATTTTTTTCTGAGAAATTTATAGTATTCCCGTGCAAAAGCACTTAATTCATTTTTCATTTTAAAGTTGTTGTTGTTTTATATATACTTTCGATTTTAAATCTCACTGCTTAAGATAAACAGTTTACATAAAACTTTTTTTAAGCACTGTTCAATCTCAACCTTGGATTCATGTGCTATTTTACTAGTTATTTAGTGAAACTGAGTAATTTATTTGTAGCACTCACAAAGAATCAGTAAACAATTTTAAAAATAATTATGAAATCCTCTTGGAATTCCATAGTGTAAAAGAACCTACATGATATTCTGTCCTGTTCTGGAACCTCTACTGGGTGTTTAAAATTCCCTGAAATATTCAGTTGTTCAGTATTTTTGTTTTCAAGAATTTGTTTCAACCATTTTAGACACATTGCTGTGGGATGTCTGCATACAACAGCACAAAGTGTTAGTATGACAATATATGAATAAATAATATATGAATATAAATAATGAGCACTTATCAGACAACACGCGTGCGTGTGCGCACACACATATATATAAATTGAATTTTTAAGATTTCTCCCTCTCAGAAATGCTCTTTTTTTCTATCTATCAAATACATTCTAAAGATTTGTAAGTTTGTATTACACTTTCTGAAGTTTAAAAGTTTTTCTTAATTTTCACATAGTCTAGAATGATTCAAATATTACTACTCAACCTGTACCTTTAGTTGATCACTCTGGCCAAAATACTTTTTATCCCCCTTCTATTGCTTATGTCAACATCATATAAGAATAACCTAACAAAATAGCAAAACTTTCATTACAATTATCCAAGATAACTATTTTTATAGGCAATTTTGTCATGCTTTAAGAAAACTTAATAAAATGTGATTGTTCTAATGATAAAATTTAATGAGGAATATAAAAATATCTGGCATTATGCTGTTGGTGTTCTAGGCTACCAGATTGTATTTTATATGTAGAAATTATGTCCCCAAAACTTCAACCTGTAATGAATGTAGGTCTTTAGTTGTCAAAAATGCTTTTAGAAATTTTTCCATTGGCATCAAACAAATACTATTATTGTAGTTTAAGCTAAATTACATTTTTTGGAAGACATAGTATAATACCAAAACAATTCAGATTTTCAGTTTGTGTTTTATAGTTTTGATTTTGTAAAACTTAATATGAAGATAAAATTAGTAAGTATCATTTGCATTGCCAAAATCAGTTTTTAGAAGTATACTCGACTCAAAATGTTTATAAAAGAAGAAATAAAAAAGGTAATGGTTTTATGTTTAGTGTAGTTTACCAGTAATAAAAGAATAAAAAAGAAAGAGTTTGTTTTTGTCATAAAGAACTTTTTTATTTTTTTGTTATTTCAGGATAACTCAAACAGGATTAACTGAAGGCATATCAAAAAGTGTCAGATCAAGAGATCCTGAAAAGGAATGTAAAGTTTCCCAGCGAGAAATAAGTCACGAGTTTGACTGATACTGTAAATCTTGCATGCATACATATTGTAAAGTTTTTTTTTGTTATTTGTACATCATTAGGTCAATTTATCTTTTATGTCTTCTCTTTCATTATTTTTTCAAACTAGAGTTTAAAAAAGTGTTCTTTTTTTTTATTTAGTATCTGTTTTAAAATTATCGTAGAATTTTTTTGTATAAAAATCTGAAAATGTGGCTGTTCTAAAATTTCATAATTTGATAATATTTTCTCAATGAATAATTGTTTATTGTTAAAAATTTTGTTATTTAGAATAAGCTTTTCAAGCTTCAGAAATTTCATACCATAAGTTCTGTCAAAGAACTGTTATAGCCACATTTTAAATTGTTTCAAAATTTTACTTAGAAAATTGCTTTTCAGCTGTTATTCATTCTTGATACCACCAACTTGTTAACTTTTTATGCAATATCTTCAGAAATTATGAATTAGAAAAGCTGATAGAATTTGAAATATCCTGCTAAACTTTAAAAGATACTCTTGAAATTCTTTTGTGTTATTTAAAAACTGACTTTTATATGCACCTGCATATGAAGAGTTTAATTCTATTACTAATGACTAATGAAAACAAAATTGTATCTTATTATTATTATTATCTAAAGTGTAACAGTCTTGAAACAGCACATACATATTACATATGTAGTAATCTAGGGAATTTGTTCATCGGAAGGTCGTTTGAAATCATTTGTTTCAAGGAATTCTGTATTTTTAAAATACAAAACACACACTTAGTAATAAACATTTTGTGATGTAATCTATCCTTTAAAAGTATTGAACAATACAACTGTACAAAAAATTTCTAAAATATTATGCCTCATCAAAATATGGTAACTGTCATGTGTTACATTGTTAGAAAAATATGAAATACTAGAAAATTAAATGATGTGCTCTATATAAGTTTAAGGCACAGGTTGGTTCCCCCCAAAAATAGCAACTATACTTGTGTTTATATAGTGATATGTGTGTGTGTGCATAAAAATTTTTTTTTTTTTTATATTTATGATTGAAAGATAGTTCATACTTTGATTCTAAAAATTGTTTTATTTTTGTTGGCTTTATACCAGTCCAAATTTTAGTGATAGGTATGGAAAGGCTAAAGCCAACCTGGAGAGCATGCATACTTTTTTTATATAAAGGTTAAAACCACTAGAACAATAAATCTTTATTTAAAACATCACGTAAAATTGGAACTTTCAAATACTTGATGTTTCAACAACTGAAAGTTGTTATTTTCAAAGTTTTGTCTCACTAGTACATTGGTCATTGCCCGTATAATACTGTAATGTCACTTATATTGACTGATGGTAAAAGAAGAAAGTTAAATTTTACTTTGTGTATAATCAAATATTTTGCAGATTGCAATTTCAACAACGTAGTGACATGATTTTGTTTCATTTAATAAAAATATATGAAAAAACGCTTTACATTTCAAAGACAGAATTACCTAAATGATTTGTCAAAATATTTAATTATTTCTAAAGCACTTCTAGATGTAGTTTCCTACAACGAATGTTTGGATGACTGCTAAATGCTATTTTAAGGTCTTAAGGTTTTATACAGGGTATTATGAAGAAGAAATTCTAATGTTTACTTTAAGAATGTGTTTTTATCAAAAATTCATTCACTTTTCTGAAAACAGTATAAAGCAAGACATAATATTGTTTGAAAAGTACAAAACCAAATTTCATTATTTTCTTTTGATCTCTGTGATTATATGTAAAATCTAAATTGGTCAATATGGAAGAGATTGAACAATTTCCTAAAAATAAAATGTCATCTGCACTCTAGTAGACTTTTAACTAGGTTCTGAAGATAAGATTTTTGGTTTTCTTTCGTTTAAGGCACAGATAAATTTAAGATTTAAGGATCTGTTTCATAGCAATGAAGATAACATCTCAGCAGCTGCATAAACTGTGCTGTTAGTTTTACAGCATTGTAAACAGTATATATATATATTCATAAATTTCTGTGTGAAAGTTCTTCAAACAATTTCATTTTTTTAAGAGTTTTTGTTTTTACTTATTTTATTTTTTCTTTCCTTCAGTAGTTTTAATGACTTTCAAAATTAATGGCTATAAATTTGGAATTCTGGATAAATTTGGATATGAGTTCTAATAATTGTTTTTCAAAAGAGTTTTGAACACAAGTAATATGCCACCAGTATGAAAAAAAAAAAAAGGTATGTATTGATCATTAAAGCTGCATAAAAGAATTTCATCATCACAGACTTGATATTTGGTATTTAAACTTTAACATTTCGTGTTTATGATGTGTGTAGTGTAGTATTTCCAAATGTGAATTTTAAAAACAACATACTTATTACATTTGTAATGCTTGAGGATTGCTTCAGGAACTTCTATTCCCTAGTAGTGCTCGTATGTAGCATCAAAATCTGATGTGAATTTGTGATTTTTTATAAGCATAGAAGAGTGTCAAAGGAGTAAATTAAGAATATTAACATAATAAGACTTGTATACATGATTAATCTGTTATTAATACAGGTATTAGTACTTGGTTAGGAATGTTTACCTTTAATGACAAGAACGATTGTATAGCTTCTTTTATATCTCTACTAAAAAGCTGAGAGTACTATTCCTGTTTTACATTTTGTAATAAATATACTGTGTATTTAATGAGTTTAATTGAACTGATCTGTGTTCTATACCCTATGCAAAAAAAATAAAAAAAAATGATTGCAGTTTAATGCATCCTTAACTAAATAATGCATTGTTTTCATAGTCTAACAATTCATTTTGGTTATATAAGCATGCTATGTCTCTCTATTCCAAGTGTATACTTGATCTGTTTGTATTCTTCAAATGTTTTATGTTTTTATTATAGTGTAATGGGAATGTGATTATTTTTCAAACTGTGTTTAAAAGCTACGTAAGCAATGGAAATTAGTTAATTATTTGTGGAAGTTCAGAAAATGGTAAAAACTAAAATTCAAAATTTTTGTTTTTAAATTGGTATTGTAGCTACCTAGTAATTTATTTTAAATATCTCTTACTGATAAAGTCAACATTGATATAAGTACAATGAAAATTTTATGTAGAGAACATACAACATGTGTAACAGTCTAAAATTAACATGCTGCTGCAATCAGGGTTCAACACAAAAAAACAATTTATTCACAATAACAACACTTAGAGATAAATTCAACTCTTACCAAAACACAGTTAATAAACAAGTGCCTGGCCAGGACTTCACACTAACATTAATACATTAATAATCAATTTATCATAAATATTAGTAAATGAATAATAATGGCATCAGGAAAAAGAACCAGAAAGAAAAAATCTAATTCCCAAAAAATACAGGAAATACAATATTTCAACAATACCTTTTAATATTGATAACAATATCGAGTAACAAACAGCAATAACCATATCCTTCAATAACTGTTTCATGACACTCTCTCTCTCTTGCCAGTAGATCAGTCACAATGCATGTTAGCATTTCTACCTGTTCTGTCAATACTGACACAGACTACTTCAAGCTTTACACATCAGACACACTAACTTCCTTAGTAATACAGTTATTTTTAAACACTAGTTAACTAATATTTGGCTGAACTTAAAATACTGCTGTATTAATCACTTGATACCAAATTGAGAAACAAGATAAAATCCAAAGTCAACAGAACATTGGTTTGTCATCTTCATGCAGGATTTCTATATATAACTGTTATGTATCTGCTTGTTTGATAAT